TTTTTTTTTTTTTTTTTTGCCTTTTTTTTTATAACTTATGCATAATGTATACCATGAAATTGGTTTTTCTCATGTAGTTGTGAAGGAACATGCCTAAGATCATTTCATGCAACTAAAGAGGCTGAATCTGATTGTGAATCCCTTGGCTTTACCAAAGAGCAAGTTGAAGTATGCTACCATATAATATATTTACTTTATGGATGGTTTATTTTGGTCAATTTTTAGTTTCTGTATCCTTTTTCACCTTTCCTCCAATATTGCAGGCAATGCAGATTTTTTTCTGTGATAATTGTAAACATGAGCAGCATCAGTGTTTTGCTTGTGGAGAACTAGGCTCCTCTATTAAGTCTTCTGGTGCTGAGGTTTGGGCTTGCAATTAGATGCTTGATGCTTTGCTGTCATATTTGTGTAGTCTTAATCTAATATAGAAAATTTCTATTTAAACATCAGTTTTGGACTAAATATATATACCTTGCACTTTCTTTCCTGTATGAATCATTAAAATTTGAATTGTTTTTCATGTTGGTGATTGGTTTGGCTGACCAGATAATATTTTTGAAGGTATTGTTACATAGAATCATTTAAAACAGTATTAGCTTGTATTCTTCGACTTCTCTCTCTCCGTTTTTTCTCTTTCATTGAAATTTTGGTTCAGAGTGATTATACTTGAATAGGACATATAAAGCCTCTTAAAAAGTCTCATGTTCTCTACCCTTGGCTGTATTATTTTAGACTCCTTTTTTTAATTTTTTAATTTTTAATGTTATGTGTCCTCTTTTGGCATGGTGAGTAATATTGTTCTTCACCTTGTTATCTTTCAGAGTTGTTTTGACCTTCCTTCGCATCGTTAGGGGTCTTGTCCTCTTGGTAGTCTAGTCCCTTTGTTTTCAACTTCCAATTTCCTTTATCTTTTAATCAAAATATTCTATACTTTTAATATTCTTTTATGCATAATGCCATGCACATCCATTCTGTTCTTCAGTCACTTTGTCAAATCCTTATTTTTATCTGATTTTCATTTTCAAGCCCCAATTTTACTTGCTGATGCATTTCTTTTTCATTCTTGCACCTAAACCTTCCCTTCACAAGAAAATGGAAAAGATAAAGATATAGAGAAAAAAATAGAAGAAAAGAAATATTCAGTGTTTTTGGTTAGGATGTAGTGTTGATTTTGCTAAATGGTTCCTCCTGTTCTCAATATGACTTAGCACATAACTTTTTCAATTACCCTCTTAGGTTTTTCGCTGTGCAAATGCTACCTGTGGCCGTTTTTATCATCCGCCTTGTGTTGCTAAGTTACTCTATCATGGGGATGAAGTTGCTGCAGAAGAGCAAGCTAAAAGGATTGTTGCAGGGGAAGGCTTTTCATGCCCTGTTCATAAGTGCTGCGTTTGTGGTTTAGCAGAGAAAAAGAAGGATACAGAGATGCAATTTGCAGTGTGTAGGCGTTGCCCTAGGTCATACCATAGAAAATGCTTGCCAAGGTACATATAACTTTCTTTTCTGAAATTTTTCAAGACATGGTCCATCTTAAAAATTTAATTGGTTGACCATCTAATTGTCTTATCAGGGAGATTGTTTTTGAAAATGATATAAAGGAAGATTTTGAAGAAGGAATTACAACCAAGGTCAGGGCCTGGGAGGGTCTATTACACCATCATATACTAATATATTGCTTGTAAGTGTTTTGTGTTAGCTGCCTTAATTGTAATATTTGCTATGATGGTTCATTTGATGAATAACCTGTTGTCTTTTCTAGAGACCATGAGATCAGTGAACTTGGGACTCCTGCAAGAGACCACATAAAATTCCCTGTCACTGAAGAGAGGAAGATTTCTCTTGAAAAAAAGAAGAAAACTCATGCATCAGCTCTACCTGTGAGCAGTGAAAAATTTAAGTTGAAGAAAAATGGTAAAGGACTAGAGGATTCTATACGGGGAAAAAGTGCCATGAAAGAAGCAAAGCGGTTTTCTTATGCTGTTAAAGAGGGTCAGAAAACCAAAAACATTGAAAAATTTGTTTCTGGATCGAATTTCCTAAGAAAAGTGAAAGAAACTGGTGTATCCAGAAAGTCTTTGAAGGAAAGCATAAAGCCTGTCTCAATGGAGGTGGAGTCCTCTGTGCCTGACAAAAGTAAGCCCTCCTTGGGAGACAGGTTGTTTGCTTACATGATTCAGAATCCTGACCTGGTTCAGACTCAAAAACAAGATAAATCTAACACTGATCTTAATAATGTTGCCGTGGTCAAGTCCACTACCGCAAAGAAGATTAGCAATGAGGTTCCTTCTTTAGATGCAGACTCAGAGAGAAGGTAACCTTTTTGTTTCTGTTTCTAGGTAGTTACATTTATCTTGCTTCCCCTACATATGACTGAAGCATACAAATGGCATTATTTGAAGTTCTATTCCATATATGGGGTTGCACCTTGTTCTAAGACTTACCTTTGGCAATGTAGAATTAGGACTATAATGAAAGAGGTTGCATCATCAGTGACTCTGGATGAGATAATAGAAAAGTTCAAAGGTCCAACCACACATGCATATTCATCAAAAAGTGCGGTGGATAAAACAATTACTGTTGGAAAGATTGAGGGCTCAGTTGAGGTATATTTTTAGTTAAGTTTGATCTGTAGTTTAACATAGACTTTTTTTTTTTTTTTTGGGGGGGGTTCTCTTTTCTATTGATTCTTTATCTGTTCACGTGTAGGCTGTTCGGACAGCTTTGCAGAAACTAGAGAAAGGGTGCAAGATTGATGATGCTCTGGCTATTTGTGAGCCAGAGATTCTTCAACAGATATTTAAGTGGCAGGTTGTTGCACTTTTGTAGTTTGTAACTATTTATTACTCTATTACCACTTACCAGTTTCTCCAGCGAGCAAATTTTAATTAGGTTTTGTGACATAGTTGTTGGGAAATTTGCTTCTTCACTTCTTACTTTTGTTTTTACCTACTGTCTTTTCAAAGCTAAACTCTTTGTTAATTTGGGTGGTGGGTATGCTAATTCTACAATCTTCATCCTCCTTAAATTGTTTTTCTGGGGTTGATCTAAAGTTTCTAGTCTGGACCTTTACCTTTTTTCATTGCAAATGATTTTTATGTCTATAGGACCTATCTGATTCTTCTCTTGTATGTGATTAGACAAAGATTTTTTAACTTAAATAGTTTAGTTTTGTTTGTCCTTTTAGAACAAGCTCAAGGTATATCTTGCTCCTTTTCTGCATGGCATGCGATATACCTCCTTCGGTCGCCATTTTACGAAAGAGGAGAAACTTGAAGTGGTAACATGTTCTATACTTCTATTGTCTTAGAGTTTACTGCCACTATTTTTTGCTTTAATTACTACAAATTTTATTATTATTTTAATTGAATTTACTTGATTTTGTGATCTCTGTTGTATCATCAGCAAAACAACAATCTTTTTCTGTCCATTTTGTTTATGATGCATCATACTAGTTCTTATCAAAGTTTTAACATCGGAGGAAGAGAGGCATGTTAGTCATGCACGTTTTCTATTGTTCCCTGGACACTGTTTTGAAATGGTTATTTGGAGATCTCTGAAAAATCTATTTCCAATATTTCTCCTAATATACAAAATGTTAACATTTTATCTGATTGCATGACTAGTTCTATTTTGTTCCAATAAAAATTTATAATTATCCTCATTCACTTTTGACTTAATTGACTTGGTATTTATTTATATTATTTACACCATTTAGATGTTCTGATATCATGTGGTGTAGTTAAAATTTAGTTCCATGTTCCATCTGGCTTTTAAAATGCTAAAGATTAATTTGCAATTTGCAGATTGTTGATAGACTCCATTGGTATGTACAAGATGGTGATATGGTAAGGACTGACTATCTCCCCCCCCCAACCCCCAAAAAAAAAGGGTTGAGTTTAAGTAATTGAATGACTTGGTCTAGCATTATGGTTGGGAACTATAATTCCCACATAATTTTGTTGTGATTGTTGTAGGCTGTAGCCATTATTTCTACTGCTTCGCTTATTGTTTGAATAAGCAAGGCAAAAGTATATGATAAGGACACCAAATTGTTTGCAATTCACTATTAAAGATATCATCTATAATTGTTCTCAAATTAAACAAGGACACCTTTTTTGCCCAATTTGGGAAAAAATTGGCATGCGGGTAACATTGCTGTTTGCTCTGTTAGAGGCATGCGCCTCTCCTCTTACATGGGGACAGGTCACATGGACTTATTCTGGACTTGGAATTTTTTTTTTCAAATGGAAAAATAACATAAAATTTAAATCAAAAATAAGAAAAAAATAAAAATAAAAAGGGAAGAACTGTATGGGTAGTTTACTTGGCACCTACTAGCCTCATATTTTTGATGGATAAAACCTGTGTCTGGGCTTTCTACATGTATTGAACATATGGGTAGTTTCTTATCCATGATAACTTTCATCAATCTTTCCTCTTTAAGTGCCAACTACTGGGTTTCTAATTATTTCCACGAACAGATTGTTGACACTTCTTGTGGTTCAAACGACTTCAGTTGGCTAATGAAAGCAAAGCTTGAAGAGACAGGGAAGAAGTGCTCTTACAGAAACTATGATATTATCCAACCAAAGGTATCTCTAGTTTCCTTGTATGAAGTTTTATTTTTCTCCAATCATACAAACCAATGATATTATCCAACGAAAGATAATGTTTGTAATGTCTGGTACATGGCTGCCCTCGAGATAAACACGTGTGAACACACTTTGGTGATGCTGTTGGTCAGTCTTAACTATTTTTTAGTTGCTTCTTACTAGTATTATGCCTTCTGGCCTTTGATTTAATCAATGCCCTTGTGAATAAGACATGCAAAGCACTAAGCAACTTTCAGACATGCTGTTAGCCAGTATTGTTTATTGAAATGTGGTTTTGATCATTTGAACATTTATCTCTTTTATGTGAACTCTGTGTAGGCCCTTCTTGAGAAGTCCTCTGTTCACCTTGCCTTTCTTCACAATTAGATGCCAGTGCACCTGAAATTTGGAACTTCAAAATTTTCAAATGCTGATATCTCCTTATCAGAGAATCCCTGAGATTTTTAAATCTGATATATCATGTATGATTGGCTAACATGATAGGATTAGGAGATGATAAAAGTCTTCAAGCTGCCAGGTTTGATGAATAATATTTGATAATATCTAGGGCTTAGACCTTCAGCACATGAAATTGGAGGGCCTACAGAATCATACCTTGTCTTTTAGTTTTTATTGGTTTTTGCGTGTGAAATACTATTGTGAAAGTACCAAAACACTCTTAATGAATCTTATTCATAAGGGGTATGTAAATACTTTCACATTCAAGACTGCATGCAGTCCAGACTGAAAAATTTCTTGCTTTTTCTCCCATGCATCTGTCATCAATTGCATCATGCCTGTATGCTATATTTTAATTTGCTGGTTTTCTTCTTGTAGAATGATTTCAATTTTGAGCAAAGGGATTGGTTGACAGTGCAAACAAAGGAGTTGCCAAAAGGATCGCAATTGGTAAGAAGCTTTTTCTGATTTGAGATAAATGCCTTTTGTGTTCGTATTGCCAAATATTTCACTTGTCTTTTTGCCTTCACTTTTGAGTAGATTATGGGGCTAAATCCTCCTTTTGGAGTTAAAGGAGCGTTGGCAAACCAGTTTATAGACAAGGTTCTTGAGTTTCGTCCAAAGCTAGTTATTCTCATTGTTCCTCAAGAAACCAAGAGGTAGTCATCCTCCCTCTTTTCTCTCTCTGCTATTTCTTACTCTCTCTGTGATACCATTTTGGCTCTGACCAGGTTAGATGAAAAGAAATCTCCTTATGAACTAATCTGGGAAGATAACGAGTTCTCATCTGGAAAGGTAAGCAGAGAATTTTCATGGACCTTTCTTTCCAGTGAGATTTGGATGATCTCGTCAACTAGTCCTGAGTTCTATATGGCTAATATACCAATGTGGTCCTTTTCAGGCATTTTACTTGCCCGGCTCTGTTGATGAGAATGACAAGCAACTAGAACAGTGGAATGTGACACCACCACCTCTCCGTCTTTGGAGTCATAAAGACTGGGCATCTAAGCACAGAGCCATAGCTGAGAAGCAGGGTCATGTATACAAAAAAAAGGAAAGTAACAGAGGTATGTCTGATCAGCCATTGGATGGTCATAGTTACCATGATGATGGTGGTTGTGACTTGCAAAAGCTTGGGTCAGAGGAATGCCATGGCCTTTCAAAGGACCAATTCACCGAGACATCAAGGAAGAGAAGGCATGAAGGGGGAAAAAACCAGGGGAGGGGAATGGATAGAAAATCGCCTATAAGTGAGATGTATAACGGGAATCCTCACTGTTCCTCATCTAATTTGATGGACGATAGATCCTCAAGGACCTCAATAGACAGTGTCCCCTCCAGATCTCTTGAATCAGAGGAACGCCATGGGCATTCGAAGAACCAGTCCAGTGAGAGTTCAAGGAAGCGGAAGCATGGTGAGAAAAACCATGGAAGAGTAATGGATCAACAATCACCTGTGGATGGACACAGTGGTAGAAAGCCTTCTAGTGACCTGTACAATGATGTTCCTCATCATTCACCATTGCCAGTTAATGTAATGGATGGTAGATCTTCATTGGAAAGTCTACCCTCCAAATCTGTTGGAACGACTTCGCATACTGGGATTGGTAAGCATCATTATCGGCATCTTGAACAAACCATGCCAGTTTCACATATGCAGGCCAGAACATTGTATTCTGAGACTCAGGGCACTTTTAAGCCTGGTTCAGTTGGAACCCGGAGAATGTCTGGAGATATGAACTATGGCGAACAATTTACCAGACACATGAGAGGTGGTGCGGACAGGATTGGCTACCCATCATATACCATTGATCCTGAGAGCCATAGGGATTCTAACCTACAGTCACAGGCTCACCTATATGGGCAACACCCTGTTTCATCTACTCAAGCAAATTATCAGGCTGGTTATAATCGTGGATATAGCCAGATTGGGTCCCTGTCAGCTACTTATGGGCACTTTGGTTCTTTAGCCAATTCGTCTTACTTGACAACCACATCAGCAATGCAGCGATATGCACCTCGTCTGGACGAACTGAACCCAGCGAGGATCGGTACGCTGCGGTCTGAACCTCCAATGGTGAGTGGAAATGGCTTCTACACTTTCAGACCACCCCAGCCTGGATACAGAGGTAACTCAATGGGCTATCCTCCTGGTCCATACCAATCCTTTCCTCATAACCATTCTGCAGGTTGGCTCAATGAATAGCTAGTTGCTTTGTTTTCTGTATTACTAAGATTTTTAAAAATGGTGAGCAATTTTATGGTTTTAAAGTAACGCTTTGGCTCCTTTTTCATGTCTTAAGAACA